AGGTAGACTGCCAGAAGGACTTCCTGCTTTGACAAATGGTGGCTGTCAGTCCCCAGGGAGCTGGCAATGTTGTCTTGGCAACAGATAACCCTGTTCATGTGGGGTGGGGGCAGGTAGGAACCTATGTAGAAAGCGGAGCAATGGACTTAGCAACTTGGGGAGGTCGCCCACCAGTCCTAATAGCACCTCCTAGTTAGTCATATGGTTCCTTTTCATGATTTACTTCCCACTGGGGTTCTGGTCTAGACCAAGTCCTCTAAGCGAGTGACTCCTGCCTTGGGGTGTGGCGGCAGGTTCTGGCTGTGGGGAGGTGCTGGTGGAAGCCAGGAGGAGGAAGACAGTCCTTACATCGCCAAATGCTGAAACGGAAAGAAGGACCCCCAGCCACAAAGCCACACTCACCCTCCCCCACACGCGTCTCCCACACAGAATGCCTGCCTCTGGCCTGGCAGCAATTGAAACATGCCCATTTGGCTCCCATCCCCCCCAGGGGCGCTGGAAGCGTCGTGGAGCCTGGGAATGCGCACAGTCTCAGAAACATCTTCCCAATGCCTGTGGTTGCCTTTCCATCCCTCTCACATACCCCCTCTCCTTTATTCTTCACAAACGCTCTGGGAGACAGAGGGTGACAGCCCTGTTCTACATCGGGGAAACTGAAGTCAAAGACTGGCCCCTGCGCACGCACATTATACACCCAGGAAGACCAGCTTCCACAAGAGCCCAGCTCCCTGATTCCAGGGAGGGCCCACCTCCCCACTGCTGGGGCACAGCCCTGGCACTCAGGCTCTGGCGACCTTCGGGACCCTCCCTCGTTGATTTGGGTCCGGCTCTCTGCTCATCCGGGCCCACTAAGGCTCCATCCTTGTTGCCGAGAAGCAGCCACTCTTCTGGTGCTGCAGATGCACCTGTGCTGGGAAGCTGAATTCACCCCACCATCTGCCTGGCTTCTGCCAGGGACTCAGGGGCTGGCTGCCCCCTGCTTTCCCCTGGGGTTTTCCAGTAGCTTGTGTTGCTGCCCCCCCACCCCCCAGTGTAACTTATTTCATTCCTGAGCCTATTGTGCCGAGCCAATGAAGGCTGGGCCAGAGCAGGTCTACTCCTGCCCTGTCCAAGCCCACAGTGACTTGCAAGGTGAATCTGGAGCCCCATTTTACAGATGTGGGCGGGTCTGAGGCTCAGGGAGCTCCTGGGTTAATCAGAGGGCAAGAGGGTGCCCGGAGTTGGCTGGAGGCCCGGCAACCCAAAGTCCTTGCCTGGGTGCTCACTCTTTAGCTCGCTCCTAGCGTCGGGCTGGCGAGGGCGGGCGGAGCGGGACAGACAGCGCAGGGCGCAGTGGGAATCCGCAGCGAAGACCCTTCCGGGGAACTTTTCCCATTGAAAATCTGTTCCCCTCGCGGACACGGGTGATGTATGGCTTGAGCTGATGAGAAACGTGCAGCGGAATGGAGGCGGGCAGCGCGGGCGGCCCGGGCGGGGGCGGCGCGGCATTGAGATTCCGCGGGGCGCAGGGGGCGGCGCGGGCCCTGACACGGGCCGGGTAATTGATCTGGAGGTGCCAATTTGCAGCAACTAAATATTTGGTTTCTGCCTCTGCCTGCTCCGCTCTCTGCTCAAACAAACTTCAATTAAAAGCGAAAAGCCGGGGGTGTGTGTGGTGGTGGGGGGCGCCCAGGTCCCTACGCCCCGATCGATGGTGGGAAGCCGCCGGGCTGCCGAGCGCTGCGCTACCGGCTGGGGACTGAGGGCGACGGAGGGGCGGGCGCCCTCTTCCGGATCGCTGGGCCCGAGCTCCGGGCCGGCCGCAAGCGGCGCGGGAGTGTCCAGGGGCCACACTTCCAATAGGCAGCCCAGGCTTAATCTCTGCTCGGGCGAGTGGAGGGTGCCCACAGTGTGCCAGGTGGCAGGCACAGATAGGACCAGCCCCGACACCCCTATACCGACGTCCAAGCCTGTGTATGGGAGGGAGGGCTACGGCCCCAGGCCCCACTCGCAGTGCGCCCCTAGAATTTGATGGCCTTGCATGCAGCACCTTCACTCTGGCCTGCCTGAATCCCGCTGGTGCTGGCTCAGAGCCCAGCTCCTCTCCCCTCTGGCAGCCTGTCCACACTTGGGTGGGCCAGAGGGCTAAGGTGAGCTCCCCCAGGCCCTGCTCCTGGAGGAGTCTGAAGGAGATGGTTTGCAAATGTGGAAGCGGCCTGGGGAGGTAGCCACAGAGCCCGCAGCAGGAGAAGGGAGGGCAGCTGCCTCCTCTGAGGAGGGCAGACGCAATAGTCACTCACTGTGCCAAGTTAGTTCCTGCCCCTCAAGATCTGCCAGGACTTGGAGAGGCCCCCCGGCATGGGAAGGGGGTGACTCACTGCTGGCAGGAAGCAGGTCCCTTGAGTGGGTCAGCCTGGAGGGTAGGGCCTAAGGCCATTCTGGAATGGGTGGGCAGCCCAGACATCAGGAGGGTGAGGAAGCCAGGGGATGGGAGAAGAATTGGGGTCCTTTCACTTGAGGGAAAGTTTCCGTAGGGCCAGAGGTGGGAAGTAAGGCAGGAGTGCTGGGAGGTAAGTGGGGAGCCTCTGACCCTCCCACATTTCTGTGTCCCACCCTCTGAGGTAAATGAATGGCCCAAGACTTCCCTACTTCAGCCAGTGAGGCAGCTGCAGGTACATTCAGCTGCAAGCTTCAGCCCTTTTCTCCCCTCCTTTCCCTTACACTCCCCTCTCCCTGGCCCCCCAGGAATCCTTTGGGGTGTGTTAAAGCACAGGTTCTGCCTCATGAGCCCCAGCTTACAGGCCCTCAGATGGCCCTACAGGGCTCCTCTGAGTGTGGGGGGGGGGAGAGTGAGGGGAGCCTAGGGGGCTCCCCATCCCCAAACCTCCAATATGCACAGCTCCGGGAGAGATTGGTCTCCCCCCTTCTGTCCTTCTACTCCAAGCAGATGCTCCTGGCTCTTAGCACACCCAGTTCTCTCTGTGGCTGGGGCACAGATCTTGACACAGAGGAGTTGGCTCCGAGCTCTGTGAAGCTGAGGGAGAATCCCCTTGGAGCACCTCCCAGAAGCCCCCCATTCCACACCTGCTTTCCCACCCCAGCTCCTCTCGGGGGCTACAGAACTCAGACCTGAAGCAGAAGCCCAAGTCCCTTCCCAGCCCGCAAGCCGGCTTCCTCACATTCCCACCCCCTCCTCCCCTCTCCCTGGGCGCTGAGCTGTGGAGCAGAATGATTTCCTGTAATTGGCCAGCAATCCGGCTGCCCGACTTGTTCTATCGACATGCTGGTTAGCTGGAAATTGTATTGGAATCTGAGCGACAGGGAGGGGAGGGAGGGGAGCAGAGGGAGGAGGCTCTTTGGGTCCCAGCTGGGTGCACCTCAGCAGATGGGTAGAGGAGCCACCAGCCTCCTTTTCCAGGAAGGAGCAGGAAGGCACATAGCACCTCACCACCAGCCTCATGTGACACCCCCTGCCCAGTTTTATGTACCCCGTGGCCTTGGGCCACCATGTCGCATCCGCTCTGCCCCCCACGCTGTCCTCCTGAGTCAAGCGCCTTTGTGTCTCACCCTCTGGCATCCTGGGGCTTGTGGCCCCACACTGCCCCCTGGCCCTCTCCCAAGGAAAGGGGGACTGGACTTGAGAAGAAGAGTTGACTCTAATTCCTAGAGAGCAAAGGTGTAAATAGTGGGGTGGGGGCTGTGACGGGAGTGGGGGAGCACTGAACTGGGACTCTGGAAGCCTGAGGATCACGTTTGTTAGTTACCGGGATCCACTGAGCCTCTGTTGGACTCCAGCCCTGCCACCTTCACCCCTATCTCCTAGCACTGGGGAAACTGCAAGGAGAGAACTTCACGATTGTGCTTCCCAGCTGGGGCTGGGGAGGTGCGGGGTGGGCGTTGGGGGCGGGTTGCAGCCGCCCTCCGGGTGGAACAGGCTCCTTTATCCAGCTGGTCTTCCGGAGGTCCCTAGGTGAGGGCCCGCAGCTCCAGCCAAGGGGACGAGGAACACAGCTTTTGACTAGCTCCAGGGCAGGCCTCCACTAGGCGCGCCCACCCCCGCGCCCCCACCGCAGCAGCTTGGCGGGGGTCCTGAGGCCTCAGCCAGGTCCTGAGGCCTCAGCCGGGTCCTGGAGGCAAGAACGCCAGAGTCAGAAACCGCGGGACAGAGGCCCGACCCCTACCTGGGCGAGTGCTGCCACCTGCCGGCCGCAGGGGGCCGCCCAAGTGAGCACCGGTTTAGGGTGCGGGGGGGGGGGGGTGGGGGGGGAGCCGGCCTGTAGTTTCTGGAGGGGCAGAACCCCAGCAGCATCCTTACCATGAGGTCTGCTGGAGAACGTTGGTGTCTAAGGCCGCCTCTGGCCACCAAGGCTGGGGAAGGAACCTGGGCATGAGCAGTGGGTTCCTTCCTCCAGGTGTCACAGCCAGCACTGCCAGCAAACCACAGCCCCCCAAGAGGAGTCAGTCTCATGAGGGGGTCACACAACTCTGTGGGAGGTGGGTATTGCCCACCTTTCCCCCTCCTACCAGGCACCCCCAGAAGGCAGCTGATTTCTGCTAGCCCCAGGCTGCCCTGGCCCTTACCCACACCTTCTGCCTCCTCGCCCGCCTTTCTTTGCCCACTGAGGTTTGCAGTGAATTACTGAGCTGGTCTCTGAGGTGGAAGCTGCTCTGGGAAAGGGGGCTCTAAATATGGCCACCACAGCCTTCACATTTGTCACACTCATTTCTGGCCTTAATAGGCTGCTGGCCACAGGAGCTACACGTCAGCGGGTCTGCGGGCTCCGGCAAGGGGAAGCTCATGTCTACACTGGCCTAATTGGTACGGGAGGAAGATGGAGGACGTGGGTGTGAGGAACACTTGGCCCTGCTGGCATCCCGACACTCTGGGGGAAAGCACAGGGCTTCTATACCTCCGGGGGTCTGGGAAAGCAGTGGAACCCCAAGTGGTGCCAGCCACATCTGAGGAGCTTGGTCAACACTGGTGCTGGGGAACAGTGACGGCAGTCCAGAAGCACAGCACATTTCAGAGCCACACTTTATTTAGCACCACAGGAGCATCAAGGGCTAGTAAGACAGTCCCTGCCTCAAAGGGCTTCAGTCTGGGAGGGGAGACAGCTGATGGCGACACTAGCCAGTTGTAGAAAAAAAGGTATTCCAGGAAGGGCAGCAGCGTGGCAGACTAAGGCAGATCCAGAAGTAGCCAGGGGACATGGGCTACCCATAACTCAGGGCTTGGGGTGCATGGGGTGGGAGGGAGAGGGTGGGCGGGGAATGCTGGTGGCATCACATGGGACAGTGGGTCCTTCCAGAAGAGACACACCTGGGCCCGGGGGTCAACCTGGGGGCCCAGTTTGAAGGTGGCAATCTCTGGTCCAGCTGACTCCCTCCCCACAGGCCACGAGGAGGCTTTGGCCAAGACAGGGCATATGCTCAGAGAGTTCGAGGCACCTCCCAGCTTTAAATGCTGGTCAGGCCCCAGGCGGCGCTCATCCCCTACCCCAAGAATTGTTGCTTTCACACCCCATCACGGATACTGTTCTGTGGGCCCTAGACAGAGGGTCCCTGGGAAGGGAGGGCAGGAGAACTACTGACAGACACTGATCTTTGCCTCGGATGGATTCAGAGCGTGAGTTGAGGGTTGGCCCGGGCCTTCCTGCCTTGGAAGCCCAGCTAGAGGGAAGGCAGGAAATAGCGGGCGAGCAGGTAGAGGAGACTAGCAATGCCAGCCAGACCCACGAGGACGCCAAGCCTCAGTGGCAGGTACTCCAGGGAGCGCTCCAGCTTGGTGTGCAGGAGGATGACCTGGCGCCTGGTGAGGCTCCACTCGCCCGAGTTGTCCAGAACATGACGGGCCATTCGGACTTTGTCCTTCAGGGGCAGCTGGGAGTTGATTCGGGCCTCCGCGTCCTGGCGGTTCAGGTTGTTCCGCTGCATCAGCCGTGCCAGCTGCGTGTCCCGGTCACTAAGGACAGCAGGAGAGGGTTGGCGTTGGCAGGCCCAGCCTCCTCCCACTGGGAAGCTACAGGCCGGGGCAGTCCCCTGCCTTGAACCTACTTAGGGTTGCATAGCCAGGAAGGAGGCCTAGGAAGTTCACTGGCTGCCCCCACCTCACCCCATGCTTTGCGAGGACCCCGCAATACTATGGCTCCCTAAGCCCCTTAATAGAAACAAAGAAGAGAAAGGACTATCAGTGGCAGGGGTCTGACTCTGCCATTAGGCCTGAGACGCTCCAGCTTCAAGACAGGAGGATTCGATCACTTGGCATCAGCTGCAGCCTGGGTCCTGGGATGAGTGACCTGCACGGACAGGCCTGTCTCGCCACTAGTCACAGACTGCCTCCCCCCCACCCCGCCTCTGCACCAGAAACAGCTTCTGGGGCTGCACAGAGACCCCTTTTGCTTCCCACCCCACATGTTTAGAGCAAAAGGGCTGCACTGAGCTGGTGGCTGCTGTGCTGATATCACTGAGGAAGTGCCACAGGCAGCTCCAAGGCAGTCCTGATAGGAGCATTGCTGGAGAACTGGACCCTGGGCCTCGAGGCGGTACTCACATTACAGAGCAAGCCCAGGACACCTAGTCCCCCAAAAGTATCCAGAGACGACCCACAACCACAACCACGTCACCATCTGGGTCCTTCCCCAGGGAACTCCCTGTCCTGCCTTCGGCTATGCAGAAACTACTGTGCTAACCTCTGCAATGGGGTCACGTCCAATATCCCTCCAGCCCCAGGCGGGGAGACGGCTGCGGAGGCTGTTTTCTGCTACTTGGGTCTCTGCTTTGCCACTAGGCCTCGGCTTTCCCAGTTATAAAACAGGAGCCTCATCCCCGAACTGGAGGCCACGACTGGAGGCCTCCTGGAATGGGAAGGCACCGCCCACGCTTCCCCTGAGCTGAGCAGTCCCAGATGGTGGGCTAAGAGCCCATGCTACTGTCTGTGGCCATGGGCTTTTCACCCAAACACTGACTCCACAATGGGCAAATTCCTCAAGAACCTGAATGACCACATTCTGGTACAATCACACTTTGGTAAACGCCCCATATTATTTCAAGTACGCCAGGGACAGTATTAAAGGAACCCACCAGGCATCCCTATTTCTATAAAGTGCAGACCCCTTTCATGAAAAGCAAACCATCCTTACGTTAAGGTCCCTTCAGCAACTCTCCAGTCGTAAGGCCCCATGTGCAGAAGTGGGGTATGTCGAGCACCCAGGGTCTGCCAAAGGCTGCTTGCTGTGGAGTAGGGTCGGAGGCTCTTCTGGGAAGCAGGCGGGAGTCTATCAAGCCCCACCTGGTTGTCACAAGCCACAACTACCTCTGTTCTCAGCAGACGCTGACCTCAGAGGCCCACAGGGAGGGCTGGTGGCTGTGGAGCGCCTGGTGGAGCGGCTGGTGCTGCAGGGGCAATGAGCCCTGTCCTGCTTCCTCACCTACGCTCTCGGGCCTTTTTTTTAAAAGCCCTTGGTACAAAGTTTTAATTGTGTTAAGACTCCAAGGCAGAGAATTCCAAGTGTTCATGGAGTTTGGCCTCAGCTGATAGTTTTTCACAATAGGGAAAAAAAAAACCCAGCTTGGAGATTTGCATGGGGCGACATGGGTCACTGGGGAGCTAAGAGGATGCCTGGGCTCCCAGGCCAGGCTCGCAGGATTCAGACTGGGCTTTAAAGAATGGCCTGCAGGGGTGAGGTGGGGGAGGCTGAGGGCACCCAGCAGGCCAGGCCCCGCCTCCATCTACTAGGTACTTGCCACAAGTTAGTCTCTTGAGAACCACTCTGTTCCCAAAACACCCACAAAGCTACTTGCCCACTTCTGTGTCTGCCGTACGGGTGGATGGCATTCAGGAAGCCTCCGGGAGGCAGAGACACCCTCACTGACTCTCTCACCCCTCTGGGACAGTGCCTCATTTTCTCTGACAGTTTGATCCTCCTCCCTGTGCCAAGCCTGGATTCTAGTTTGCGTCCTGTCCTGGGGGATTCTGAGAACAAACTTTCAGCTGGCAGCTCCCACCCCCTACTCTGCTCATAGGTGTTGCCAGTAGGTGAACCTGGACAAAAACTCTAACAACCCCCTTGAGTTTTCTGTTCTGTAACTCAGAAATAACCTGCCTGATTGCCTCATGGCAAATAAAGTAATAAATGTGGGAGCTGTTTGGAAAGTTGAGAAGTGCTATAGAAGAGAAATGGGATCTAGTGAATAACAACATGGTAGCCCTGAGAAGGGCCTGGCATTGGGGTTGAAGTGCCCCAAATACCCAGCAGGGGGAGCCCTTCCCAAGCACTATAAAAGTGTGAGTGCATGAGCGCTGTGCGTGCCTGCATGCGTGTGTGTGTGTGTGTGTGTTTGTGTGTGTGTGAGAGAGAGAGAGAGAGAGAAAGTCAGAGACAGAGATTATCTCAGTCCTTCTCACTCTTCCCACTGGGCCAGGCACAGAAATTAGTGTCTATAGGTTCTGGGTACTGCCACCCCCACACCCCCCAACCCCGTTCTTCCTGGCTGCCCCCTGGGACGAAGGTAAAGTGCTGTGTGTCACTTCTTAGGTACGAGCCTTCTGCCCAGGGTGCTCCTCTCTAGCCTGTTGGGCCATGCCACACACTTACCAGTACACCACGACTGTATGCTTCAGGTACTTGAGCAACTTCTTGGTCTCAAAGAGCAGAGGGATATCCAGAATCACATAGCGGTATCCTGGGGAGAGGCCAGGAAGCCCACAAGCTCAGTTCTGCAAGCACACTCTGAGCACTGGCTGTTGCTAGATGTAGCAACAGAGCTGAAGCCACTCTGGCCAGAGTGCCCAGCAGAGAGGAGCTACCCAAGAGAGGCAAAACCTGAACTAGGCATCCCAATGCCACTCAGAACAGAACACCGCAGAAAGTCACTTTTAGCTGGGTAATCTGGGAAGAGCTTCTAGAAAGGGTGCACTTGTCCTGGCCTTGACAAGCAGGTAGGGCTGCCTAAACTTGAAAGTGAACAAGTCGGTGGGGCTTCAGGACTGGAGAATAGCAGTGCACTAGGAGCGACAAGTTCTACTGCCCTGGCTGAACTGGGGGCCTCGCAGCTGAGAAGGATGAGGTGGCAGGGAAGGCACACAGGGTTCACTCCCCCTCAAACTTGAGCCCAAGAGTTGTTATCTGTGACACAGCCAGAGTTGCAGAACCCTGGGGGGTTCCAGGAGTGATGGGGTCCTTTTTGCCTCTACCCAACCTTTGCCAAAAACAAGCTCTTCCCCAAGAGCCAGGCCCAAGCCCGTCCTGCCACTGAAGGAGAGTCCCACTAGTATACCTCCACCAACTCTCATGACAGATGCATCTGGAGTCCCCTACGGAAGTCTCCCAAGGAAGCGGCAGCTTCTGGCATCAGAGAGACCTCCAGCCAGGAAAGGCAGGAATTGAGCTGGAGAGAGGCTATGACTAGCATCTCGAAACTAATGCCAGTGGGCAATGGCGCCCGCTGACCCTGTCTCTGGCTACTCAAGCGTGGCCCCTCACTCACCAAGGCATGTCCCTGGGCCACGCACTCAGAAACACACTCCTGGTTCTCTTTATATCCATGACTGTGAAAAAGCCAGCTGGGGCCCAGGGGCAGTGACGGGAAGGGACAGGCTCTGCTTCTGCCCAGAGCCCCCGCCCAGCTTGCCTGCTGTCCCACTGCAAACACTTCCAACCCCAGAGCCCAGCACACTGTGTGGGGGCTCCTGCGGAGGCTGTCTCACTGGGGTGAGACAGCACAGGGCTGACAACCCTGGGTTTTCTGTTCCCCAGGACCTGCTGTTTAGCACGCCCAAGGGGAACCTCAGTCAAAAGAGAGAATTAGGGCCCTCGCCAGTGGCGCAACGGGTTAAAGTGCAGCACTATGAGGCTATCACAAACACTGCAACCTGAGTTCAATTCCCGCTCAGGGAGCCAGCCCACATGGCACAGCAGACCCCTCCTTTCTCACCCGCTGCTCCCCTCAGCAGTATGTTTCAGTCAGCCAGTTCTGCTCCCCACACTGTCTCTAGTGAATCCTCTCTCCACCCCCCCACACCTCTTGCCTGTACCCCAGTTCTTGTGTGCATACATAAATAAGTCTTTTTAAAAAAGAGAGACAGAGGGGATTAAACTGCTTACACCTGCCCTCCACCCCTTAGGCCCCCATCAAGTGCTCCAAGGATGAGGGTTATTGTGACTGTCAATTCTGGAGGAGGGTGCCGGCTCCCTGTTCCCCTCCTACCTCCCCCACCCCTGCG